GCTTAAAAATTAAATTAGTATCATCGAAATAATATAAAACCGACGACCACTACTGGACATGCGGCAAATCAGCAATGTAGATGACAATGAGAAGAGGCACAAGCCTGAATTCTTGTAGAATACCTTTGGAAATATTGATAACACGTACATAAAAAGTTCTAGTCTTCATATAATAATAATAAAAATAATATTTATTTACTAAAATACTATATTTAAATACATTAATAAAATGAATACATTTTTTGTATTATACTTATAAATACAGGGTGTCCCCAAAATTAGACGGTCATATTTTAACAGCATAATCTACATCCTAAAATATGAGTAAAAGTTCATATAACCATAGGTCCTAAAACATTTCGTTTTCCAGATGCAGGGTGTTACAAGTGAAGTCCTGATGACACATTTTTGTAAATATTTTCTAAAATTTTTTAGTCACCGGTTTTCCAAAATTAAAAAAAGTAAAATTTCTGATTCCACAGGCCTACTAATTATTGTTTACACAGGCCTACTAATTATTGTTTACACTTTCGAATAAGATAACATCAACTTATCATGAAATTTTCAAATTCTTTTCTCTTGAAAATGGTGCGTCCTAGCGAGATGCAACAAAAGTTGCTTTATTATAAAGAAAACATTGGTTTAATTTTATAGTCAAAAATGTTAAAAAATAAAACATAAAATAATATTCACAGATATCAGCAAAGGACCCCGCACAAATCTTATGGAAATTGGCTCCCGGTCAAATTGGCTGAAATTTGGATATGTTGTTTGTTTGGGCATCCTGAGCAAAAATCTCAACGGGCACAAAGCTCAATATTACTTATTTTAGCTCCTACGGAGCTCCAAAGCTCCACGGATTGATCATTATTTACTACTTAAAAAGACAATCTCATAGAAAGTTACCTTTTTATGTTTTCTGGGTCACTGCATTCGAATCCAATGCCAATATAATAATACTAACAGTTGACAGCTGTCAACTAGCTGTGAAACAACAAGCAATAATCAAAATTGATAAAATTCATATGTAAATATCTGTTTTTGAGGTTGGTAAGTTCAAAACTGATGTTAGCAACTCGATATTGACAGTTGATAGCTATCAAATAACTGTCAAACTACCACAATATTTATTTCTACCATCGGCGTTAGCGTTACCCGATGGACACCACGTGAAGGTCGCGCGATCCGTTTTTGTACATCTTGGCCGATTGTTTTATTGGATCTATGATTTTATCAATTTTGAATATTGCTTGTTGTTTGACAGCTATTTGACAGATATCAACTGTCAATATTAATAAATTGGCATTGAATTTGAATGCAGCGACTCCGAAAACATAAGAAGGTACTTCTTTTTTAATGCAGCAAATACTAAACTTTATATACAGAGTGGCCCAAAAGTCTGGAAACGGTCAATTTTCTCGTAAAGTAATAGTCCTAATCATACAACATTTGGGGTACACCTATTAGGCGATACGGAGATTCCAGATTTGATATTTGCAATGTTGCCAGATTTTACATTTTTCTTATATTATTAGTCACTTTGGTTTTTCAAACTATTCACCCTATATATTTAGTCATTATTGGAATCTCCTATTCCATACGAGTTCAACCATATGTAACACTTATGATTTTATGTAGTCTGGAAGGTCATAAATAAATAAAACAGAAGTCTGGCAACGCCTAATTATCTCAATAAATTTTTTAATACAAACTATTTTCAACTACATCAGACATAACAATTTAAAGATTACAACATTTTTAACATAATGGTTACTTTATCAAGTGTTCAAAATGTGCTCCATTTTTGAGTTGCCAGTACCCTAATTGATGGTAGAATGCATATACCACATTTCTCCATGATTGTTTTATTTATTTGAGACCTTCTAGACTTCATAAAATTATAAGTGTTACATATGGTTGAACTCGTATTGAATCGGAGATTCTAATAATGACCGAATATATAGGGTGATTAATTTGAAAAACCAAAGTGACTAATAATATAAGAAAAATTACAAATCTTGCAACATTGCAAATATTAAATCTGGAATCTCCGTATCCCCTAATAGGTGTACCCCAAATTTTGTACAATTAGGGCTATTACTTTACGAGATATTTGACCGTTTCCAGACTTTTGGGCCACTCCGTATATATAAATAAGCAAAATTGAGCTTTGTGCCCATTGAGACTTTTGCTCAGGATGCCGAAACGAACAACATATCCAAATTTCAACCAATTTGACCGGGAGCCAATTTCCATTTGTGCGGGGTTCATTATGAACATTTTTTTAAAATATTTTTTTTGAGAGACTTAGAAGATTTTCGGACTATAATAAGCAATATTTGAATTTAAAAATTGTTTTACTTTGATGATTGGTATTTGTAAAATCCAGTGACTAATTTTATTTTTGAAGAGATTATAGGAATTAATTTAGGCCCTAGGTAAGTGAAGTATTTTTTCCTACTCTTTTCTCTGTGCGAGGCATAGGAATCAATTTTATGTCGCGTGCTGAACGGGTGAATGATAGGTTTTTGTTTTTTTTATTTTTATATTCATATAATATGTTTTTTTGCATACAGCTGATACATGTTAAATATTGGGGTATTATGATAAATATATTGATTCTGATGGGTAAGTAGGAGGTTTTTTGTACATATAGTTTAAAATTAATTTTTAAATTTTTTGAAGGTTTTCCAGGAGCGTTATTCCAACCGAGCCCCATAAAATAAGTCCGTAGTACAAATGAGATTCTACAAGTGAATAGTACAGTATTTTTAGGTACTGAATGTTTAAAAATTTGTCAAATTTTATAACATAATTCACTTGGATGTCCCATTTTAAATGAGAGTCGATGTATATTCCCAATTATTTAATATGTTTAACAGCTTGTATTTTTATTGATTGTTTACTATTAACAGAAATTTTAAGATTACGTTGAGGTTTTTTCGCGAAAGCCATATTGTCTGTTTGATAGTATTCCGTATTTATCCATAAATTATATTATTCTTTTTGTTTAATATTTTATCAAAGATTTTCCCCACACTGGAAATTATGGAAATTGGTCGATAATTAATAACATTTAACTTGTCCCCTTTCTTATAAATAGGCGTGATTACAGATTCTTTGAGATCATCGGGAAATTAACCTTCACTAATAGTTTTATTAATAAGAAAGACTAAAATCGGAGATATTTCTTGACTTACTTCTTTAGAAATTTCAGAAGTTATTTCGTCTATACCGGGTTTCTTATTATTCTTCAGTACAGTCTGTATTTAATACAAATATTGTTTTAGAAATCTTTTTTTGTAAAAAAATTTTGTTTGGGCTATATGATATTTCTGTTGCCATTTTCTCTGCAATTGTGTAGTGTTTACAAAACGTATTGGAAATTATTTTAAGTTGTCTGTTATATCGCCTTGTGTTTTTTTTAATTTGATTAATTGTTTGTTTCGTTTCTTTTGTATTTGACATTTCATTAATACATTGCCAAAGATTTTTGCTTATATTTTTGTTTTTTTTTCAGTTCTTTCTTTATAATAGTCAGTTTTAGCTTTACTTATCAAATAATTTAGGTGGTTGCGATAGTTTTTAAAATTTAGTTTATTATTTTCGGTGTGGTTATTTTTCATGATTTCATAAAGTTCATTTTTTTCTTTGATTGATTTAAGGAGCCCTAAAGTAATCCAAGATTTTCTTTTTATTTCGTTCTATTTTAGTTTCACTAGTCGTGCGTACAACTCTCTATATACAATTTTAGTTTGTTTATAAATAGCAAGCAGCCTATGTTAATATCATTTGAATTATATACATCGCTCCAATTTTTCAAATTATGTTTTTTTTTTAATAGGTTTTTATTAAGAAGCGGTTTAGTTTTTTCTGAAATTGTTTTTTGTAAAACTATGGTATTAGCTGCGGAAAAGTGATCGGTAATACGTGTTTCAATTACAGCTGGAATATTGATTAAGTTTTTTCGATAGTTTTAATAAAAATATGATCAAGACATGCTTTTTCTATGGCTACTACCCTCGTGTATTTATTAATTTAACTTGTAAATCCTTCTTCACTTAGTGCATTTAGATTATCATGAACATGAATGTTTGCCTTATCAAGAATATTCAAATTTATATCACCAGTTAATATGTGAAAATCAACTTTTTACAATGTTTAATATAATTAGGTAAATTGTCTATGAAACTGCTTTTAACAGATGGACCTGGTCTATATATATACACCATTTATTAAGAAACTTTTATTGTAAATTTTGATAAATATTTCAATTATATTTATGTCATTAAGTTTAACTATATTAAAACTAGTATTGCATTTTTCCCTTACATATAGAATTACACCGTCACACTGGTTAAATATTCCCTCATTGTAAAACATTTTATAGCCGTGCAGTTTAAATAAGGATGTATCGGTGAAAATTGTCGTCACTGTGAGAATAATAAAATCAAAACTAATGCTTACCTGATTTAAAGTAATTTTTAGTTCGTCCAAATTTTTATTGGCGCTTCTGATATTTAATTGATAAATAGAGATGCAATTATTTTCGAGATGTTTTTCAGTTATAGTCTAGAAGATCAGTGATATAAAACTCTATTCAATGAATTAGCTTTCTTCTTATACCAAGATGTTCCAAAGTTATCAATAATCGTTGTTGAGGTAAATTACATGGAAAATTCAAATAGTTATCGCGGTATTATATTTGATAAATTTTCTTTTTGTTATTTTTAACAAATTTTAGTTTTTTCTTTTATTTTAAAATTCAACGTACTACTTTATTTCACTCATTTGAATGGATTTATAAAAATTTAAAAATCACATTTCGTGTCATATCCCCTGAAACTCAAGAAACAGTCCTACTTGACATCAGAAAAACCACAAATTCGCGAGCTTGAATCTCACCATAATCTGTCGCATTCTGGGATGGATATCCTGCATAACTCCAATCTCTTTGTTTTTTAAATTCGTTTCCCAATGCTCTATATTTATTTTTTCAGCCACAACACGCGCTTCCAGACGTTTTCCTTTGGATAATAAGCGGAGGAAAGCGGCAGGCATACCAGCGCATACCCGCCAGGGACATTATTTACTCTACAGTAGACGAGGAATGCGGAAAAGACTGCGGAAAAGTTCAGACGATGTTTCTGAAGGTATGTAGCAAATATTCAGTGATTAAATTATTAACCTTCTATCGGACAGCAACGTCAGTAGACGACATAAGTACATTTGTTGCTAAATTTAACATCTGGAGACGTAATCGTATTATTAGTAGTTTCCATGTAGGCAGATTTCCATAAACAATTGTGTTTGTGTGTGTTGAGACAGGTTGGCTTTGGACCTTGTCTATTAGCCACAGAAATTTATTTTAAGTGATAGAATTACAATTATTTTTAGTAATGATATTAAGATATAATATTTTCACTTATATGGTTATATTAGCTGATTTTAAAAACTCGATAATTTTGTCAAAAACTGATTTGATGTTTATAGCTAACAAACTCGTAATATGTCCCCTATTATCGATTTTTGAATAAGGGTTTCAGTATGCTGTTTATGATTTTATACAAGAAAAACATATATGGTTTAGGTCTGCTTTTACAGTGTTGTCACAATTACAATAAGGACACCTACCACACCAATCTTATGTAGATGGGCCCTAAAACAACCGTGATATAATTTTTATCTTGTAATTATGGTGGAGTAGGATCTACTGACTACAAATTGTAGTTTATGGAATGATTTAACAGGCAGGGGAGGATGGATATATTTATAATGATTTGTTTCACAATAAGCATTCCATATTTGCCTCCATTCGGAGATAATATTCGTTTTATAAATATTTTTTTTGCAGATTCATCAACAATTTCATCACCCCACTGTGAGCTTTGGTCCAAACAAAGTGTATGTTAATTTTATTTACGGTTAATATGTTTATTAGGTTTTTGATGTCCAATACTACCTTATTATCGTAAAATTTATTAGCAGGTCCCACAATAGATTTAAGAGGAAACCGGACCTCTCGCGAAAGCAAAAATGTTTTAAGTATGTTCTAATATAAAATTGTATTTATATGCTTGCCACTGGGAATACTTCGTGATATTATGTCTTGACAATATTAAGAGCTTTAAATTTGTGCAATGATAAAGCACCACTCTACAGAGACATTTAAGAAAAAAGGTGGGAAAACACATCATTTAAAAACTACTAGATATTTATTAAAACAAAAAGCAGCAAATTTTCAAAGATGTAATACAGAATGGCGCGAAAATATGTTTTTTTTTTATTTCTTTTAAAATTTAAAACATAACGCACCTTCTTATATGCATTCGATTTTTCTGAAAAAAAAAAAAAAAAAAAAAAATATGGACACATAACCTTTAATTTTTGTTGGGGAAAATCAAATTTTCCATGTGTTATCCCCTGGAGCCACTCGTAAATTTACTTTCATTCTACTTAAAATCTATGTACTTTATAACCTTCTTCGAGGCTTGTATGCGAAAATAGGACACCTAAACTTGTCACTATCTGACGGTCTACAAGGAATTTCGGAAAACGGTGTATATTAACATTTTACCATTTTCTCCACCTTATCGGGTTTCGGTTCTGAACATTCGAATTATGTTGAGAAAAAAGTGTGTCACAATTTGTGTTAAAATACTGACAACATGCGGAGTTTACGATAATAGAGACTTGACTAGGTGTTTCTGTAACGTCAAAAAGGGATTCTTAGATTTGCACGGCCAGATATCAACTGTAATATGCATCAATTTAGTAATTAGCTCTTTACGTTAGTTGAGGCTTTGCCTGCGGTTATTCGATGATCGTGCTAGGATGCATCGAAGATGAAATTAGAAATTGTCGGCTACACAATATCCGAGTAGCTTCTGTTATGGTTATAGCGGTATTTCAAGTTAAGCACATACTAAGCACTTAGTCTTTGAGTTTGTGGCAAAGAAAGGAGCTCAAATATTAACCATTAGGTTGATAATATATTCTCTTTTGGGTCACATACTTTCAAAGAGCTGGGATTTGCGTTGCTTGCTGAATACACAACTATTCCTCAAGAACTAATTTTAAATATATGTTATTATATTGAGCGTAATTTCAGCAAAGGGTGGATAATGGACACACACTTTAATTGATTTTTTAATCAATAAAATAATTTTTTCGTCATTTCATCATTAAACAGGGTATTTTTGAAATACATTTGAATATTAAAATTGGTGGTAGTATAATATGATATCCAAACATGAAAGAAAATAATAATTAATTACCCAATTTTTCACATTCACGTGTGTGCATGCGTATGTTTGCGAGCCTACAACAGTAACTCTAGAACTAAAATTCCGATAGACTTGCGGTTTTTGATTTTACTTGATAAAACCCTATTAATTTTCGAAATTTTCAGTTCAACTTTGGTGCTTTAAATAATAGCGTTTTTAAAATGCAATGCATTTGTCATGGAGCTTACATTATGCACTGTGGCACGGATACTCTTTTCGCTAGATAGCCATGCTTGTTAAGTTAAGTTAAAATAGAAATACTTTCTTCTATATTGCTGTCATTCTTAAAAATCAAATAATTTTTTAAAGTGTTAATTTATTATAAGTGAAAATACTTGTTTAAGTTAAATTAAATAGGGATTATACGAGATTAACAAAAAGGACTATTTTTAACGAACTCCAGAATGCAGCTCATATCTGAATCTGATATTTAAGATCAAAAAAGACATAAATATTTTTACATCTGCCTGTTTACGAGGTGAAAGCGCAAATATTTTTACATGGATAGGATAAAGAGGTAAAGGAGAGATATATTTTTACATGAGCAGGTGTAAAGGGAACAAATATCATGGACAGGCTACAGGAGTAAAAAAAGTAATTTTTACATAAATTGTTTGAGTTCAAGCAATTTGCAAACCCTTATAAAACGACAACATGGAATGGTTCTCAAAAACTAGGGCTAGCAATGTAAAGTAAACCTACATGGTTTAGTCTAATGACACCAATGCTTCACAAACCTCAAAATTCAACGTATCAGTAATTCTCATCGTCTTTCAATCTTTCGTTTAAAATCAGATGGTTTCATTTACACCATCTATTCCCTGTGTAAAACTTTGCCGATAAGGTAGAAGCCACCAATTTAACATCCCTCGAATTTAACCGAGAGATTCTCAAATAAAATAATAGGAATATTCTCTTCTTTCGTGCTATTATTGTACGCTTCTATATGTACACCAACGAACAACTTTACCCTAAAACTGTTCACGTTCTCTATAATTCTTTATAATTCTCTATAATTCTCTATAATTCTCTATAATTCTCTATAATTCTCTATAATTCTCTATAATTCTCTATAATTTTCTATAATTCTCTATAATTCTCTATAATTCTCTATAATTCTCTATAATTCTCTATAGTTCTCTATAATTCTCTATAATTCTCTATATTTCTCTATAATTCTCTATAATTCTCTATAATTCTCTATAATTCTCTATAATTCTCTATAATTCTCTATAATTCTCTATAATTCTCTATAATTCTCTATAATTCTCTATAATTCTCTATAATTCTCTATAATTCTCTATAATTCTCTATAATTCTCTATAATTTCTCTATAATTCTCTATAATTTTCTATAATTCTCTATAATTCTCTATAATTCTCTATAATTCTCTATAATTCTCTATAATTCTCTATAATTCTCTATAATTCTCTATAATTCTCTATAATTCTCTATAATTCTCTATAATTCTCTATAATTCTCTATAATTCTCTATAATTCTCTATAATTCTCTATAATTCTCTATAATTCTCTATAATTCTCTATAATTCTCTATAATTCTCTATAATTCTCTATAATTCTCTATAATTCTCTATAATTCTCTATAATTCTCTATAATTCTCTATAATTCTCTATAATTCTCTATAATTCTCTATAATTCTCTATAATTCTCTATAATTCTCTATAATTCTCTATAATTCTCTATAATTCTCTATAATTCTCTATAATTCTCTATAATTCTCTATAATTCTCTATAATTCTCTATAATTCTCTATAATTCTCTATAATTCTCTATAATTCTCTATAATTCTCTATAATTCTCTATAATTCTCTATAATTCTCTATAATTCTCTATAATTCTCTATAATTCTCTATAATTCTCTATAATTCTCTATAATTCTCTATAATTCTCTATAATTCTCTATAATTCTCTATAATTCTCTATAATTCTCTATAATTCTCTATAATTCTCTATAATTCTCTATAATTCTCTATAATTCTCTATAATTCTCTATAATTCTCTATAATTCTCTATAATTCTCTATAATTCTCTATAATTCTCTATAATTCTCTATAATTCTCTATAATTCTATATAATTTTATATAATTCTCTATAATTCTCTATAATTCTCTATAATTCTCTAAAACTCTAAAATTCTTTAAAATTCTTTAAAATTCTTTAAAATTCTCTGAAATTCTCTAAAATTTTCTAAAATTCTCTAAAATTTTCTAAAATTCCCTAAAATTCTCTAAAATTCTCTAAAATTCTCTAAAATTCTCTAAAATTCTCTAAAATTCTCTAAAATTCTCTAAAATTCCCTAAATTTCTCTAAAATTCTCTAAAATTCTCTAAAATTCTCTAAAATTCTCTAAAATTCTCTAAAATTCTCTAAAATTCTCTAAAATTCTCTAAAATTCTCTAAAATTCTCTAAAATTCTCTAAAATTCTCTAAAATTCTCTAAAATTTTCTAAAATTCTCTAAAATTCTCTAAAATTCTCTAAAATTTTCTAAAATTCTCTAAAATTCTCTAAAATTCTCTAAAATTCTCTAAAATTCTCTAAAATTATTTAAAATTCTCCAAAAAATAAAATGGGTCGAGCATATCCTCTACGATTGCTCGACGCTCTCATTTATTCGGCGAGTATCGTAACACCGGCTGATATAAGACAAGCACTTCTTGGCGATGTTGTCAACTATATTAAATGTGTAGGCTGGAACACGAGCTTAGCGGAACTTAGAAGGATTCACAATGAGCCTAATGAGGCCTAAGTGTCGTGGGGGTAACCCAACCTCCACACTTTACAGATACAGGTAACACTTGAGGAATTATACATCTGCAAAATACTAAAATTTCAGGTTTCATCA